TTTGCTCGAAGTCTCAAACCCCCCCCCCCCTCCCCCCCACACATTCACACACCCGTCAATTACATCTCACAAGATTTAATCTACTTTGGATATATTTTGACTCTAATGTCAATTAAATCTTGTGGGTGCAAATGACGGGTGTGGTGGTGAGTTCGGGTCGGGCTGAGGATATGAAACATCAATCTTTTGAAGGAAGCACTATATCGATCTCGGACCATCTCATGACATTAATTTTCAATGTCATGGAAACTAAGGTGTTTTAATAATTGGCTTAAATTACTTCGTAATTCACACATGATATTACTATATTCATATCTTTTATCAAAATTTGCTAAAGTCACACCTATAAATATAAGTTTGATGTTTGTGGATCTGGTAAAATTAGATGAAATGTGAAGATATAGTCATGTTGCCACTAGCCTTGTATATCTTTTGATTTAGTTCTTAAATATGTCATTGTAATTTTTTAATTATACACTATTTTTCACATAAAAATGATCTAAAAATAATTTCAGTCAAACATCATAAATTGAAATAGATAATTTAAATTGAGACGGGGGAGTACCATTTATGTAATTTAATCTAAAAAACAATCATACATTTGATAAATATTCTTTTGTCCAAATCAAAAGGCACGATTTGTCTTCATGAAGATTACCACAAAATTTAGAGTGATTTTGTCTTACATTTTTGCCTGATTGAAAAGGGTAAGGGTGAACGTTGAATTAAGAGAGAGTAAAAATAATTAAAAAGTTAGAAAACATTGTTGAATAGATATTAAGGTAAATTCTTAAGTCGTCTTAAGATCATGTTCATTTTATAGTCATTAATGCATTGATATAATATCTGAATTGAGCTTTTTGCAAAACAAAAAATATTCTTGTCGGTCCATAAAAAGTATGAAAAGATCTATATTTTACCCGTAAACTTTAAAAATAACTACTCCGTATTTTTTTAAAAGAAACAAGTGTCCAACTGTTCAATTATTAATGCAATCAAACTTCCCTACTCCGTATACCAGACATACCCACGGGGGTATGAACTCATTCTGTTATATGAGACGTTGAACAGTGTTTGGTGTTCTTTTATAAAATTTAACTCTACCTATATAAGGGAAGTACGTCAAAATTTGAATGTATGATAATCACTCTTAATTGTGACAATTGCTCTTTAATCTCTCTATCACAATTTAAATCGGATGTTTTGATTTACGATTTTTGATAAAAGTTACGAAGTATTTAAATATATTTTATTTAAAAATTGAGGTGAAATTTTAAAATACTCCCTGTCCCAATTTAAGTTAATAACGTATTTACTATATATATGGTCAAACCTTAAACACTTTTTTTACACATTTTTTGTTATCCATTTGATAAAATAATATATTTTTCTCACCTTTTGTTTTGTCGATTTTTAATGTGATTTTTAATTATTTAAATTTTTTTTAATTCCACAACAATTTTTAAATAAATTACGTTGAAAATAATTGTTGCCAAACTTTGTAAACAACACATGTAATTTAAATTGGGACGGAAGGAGTAAAATTTCTATATTAAAAAAATATTAAAAAAATTCTATGAATAAATTGGTGACATGATCATATTATTTTATCAAATGAGCAAAAAAATAGAGAAAGAAAGTAAATAAAATTCGACACTGTAAATAGTTAATTAAATAACTTAATTTGGGACTAAGGGAGTACAATTTAGAAAAAAAGACTACTAAAGTAGGTGTAACATTGAAAATATATCAAAATATGAGCTCTATGTTTTTATTTTCAAAATAGAACTTAAAATGCATTTGCAGTACCAATCATCATGATCATATACATTACAAAAAAAAATATTATAAAATGTTTATGTACAGTGTTATATTAATAAAGTGCAAATTGCGATATAGAGGATAAAAATATGCAGCTTTTATTTTGATATTTCTTTCTATGTTTTACTCTTATTTAAGGTAATTTCTTTACAATTTACTCCGTATTTAGTATGCTTATTGTTGCTTACTTAAATTAATTATTTGTATAATTATTGTGTTTGATAAGACTTTTTTCGTTATTGCTTATTTTAAATTTGGAATAACTTAAATCTCAAGGGCCAAAAGAACATAAAATAGGGAGTGCTCGTCTCAATTTAAGTTATTTGAAGAGAAAATATGTTTATTTAGTGATAAAATGAGATCGACCTATCTTTTCATATGACGCTATTCACTCAAAAAATTAAAATACGCATTCCCTCTGTGGGAAAATATTTTTCACGTGTTTACTTGGCACATTTATTAAGGACTAATAAAAAAATGTCAAACTTTCATAAATTCACGTACTATAATTTTTAGAACTTATTTTCTTATTAAACAAGCAATAAAAAGTTGATCAGTGATAAAATAAAAAGATATTATTGAAATTTATCTTTAAAAAATAGATTAAAAAAGAAAATGAAAAGAATATTTTCGGACATACCAAAAAAAATGAAAAAAACATTTCTAGACGAAGATAGTAATACTTCGCATATATTATGTTCCTAAAACTAATGTTATTTTACACCACCTCTAAAATTAAAAGGGACACGGGAGGGATAAAAAAAAGTGGCCGGGAAACCAGGAGCGGGGCTTGGAGGTGGTATAGGAAAGCAAAACCGGGGCGGTTTTGAGAATTGCATGCATGCATTCATCTGGCGGGCGGGCCGGTCGGGATCTGAGACGTCTTGTTAATTGATGACGTGTCAAGCCGTGTCACTCATGGGGAACGCATATTTCGGGTTTGAGACGACACGTATCCTTTAGGCGCTTGCCACTTGACTTGCCCTTCCCCCCCCACCCATGTGTATTTCGCCTCAACATGTCTACCACGTTTTGAATAACGTATAAAATATTATATCTTTTAAAGTTATTTTATTTATAAATTACTCCCTCCGTTCGGAAATGTTCTTTCCGTGTTGACTTGGCACGCTTATTAAGGAATAGTAAAAAATGCAAAATTTTCAAAAATGCACATACTATAAACTTTTAAATCTTCTTTTATTATTAAAAAAGTATTAAAAAAGTAGATTTGTGATAAAATAGAAGGGTATTATTGATATTTAGCCTTAAAAAGCATACTAAAAAAGGAAATGGATAGATTATTTCCGGACGGACCAAAAAGGAAAATGGGAAGAATATTTCAGGATGGAGGGAGTAATAGAGAAATAAAAAGTATAAATTATATCGTTTAAGTGTGCATCAAAAATTTTACTCCCTCCGTCCCAGAAAACATGGGAGTTTTGGTTTTGGAGAGAGATTTAAGGAGAGTGTATTTTGGTATTGAATTTCTAAAAATGTCCTTTGATGTGATGGGTAAAAGTATGATTTGATGGAAAGATTATTAGTAAAAAGGTATGATGTGATAGGTAGGGTATGAAAAAATAAACGGTAAAAGTGGCTTTTTAATAGAAATGAAAAGTGTTTTTTGGGACGGATGAAAAAAGAAAGGAGAAAGGTTTTCTGGGACGGAGGAATTATAAAACAAGATACAACATAAACTTTATATTTAATTAAATAGTCTTCGAAAGTGAGTAAACAAATAAAAATTATCAAAAAATGAGGATAGTAATCGTGGTAATTTTTTTTGATAATGAGGAAGTAATAAATTAAGTTCTCAACCATACGTAAGAGTAGCTGAGTAGGCGTTTAGAAAAAGTAATAATCAGCAGCTCAGCTGCCATGTTCCTTTAAACTAATTTCAGATGGAATTTAAAACTCAAATATCATTACACTTTTATCCAGCTGAAAATAGATAGTTATGATGGGGAGTGAAACTTAAATAATTTTCTGAAAAAGATGTTTATGTTTTAGCTTTTACACATCTCAAAAAATATTTTTATCTACATTTATAATTTCAAAAATTCACCTTGTATCTCTTTTATTTCAAGTAGAAGTTATTTTAGAGATATTTTAGATATTTACGGTAGGATAGAAGTTTGTATGTGATGGGTATTTCCTTATACCCGACCTGGATAACCGAAAGGGACAGGTCAAAATATGACCGGTCACTTTTATCAAGTCACCAAATGATGTTAACTCTTCGATTGGGACGGGTCAAAAATTAACCGGTCACTTCCACTAAAAAAGTGACCGGTCACATTTGGGGCGATAGCCAATTCGTCACTTAATGTTGCGAAGGATATTCCAGAGGACCAAAGAGATGGGTTGAACTCAAGAAATGACCGGGTAACCTTTGAGGAAAGGTGACCGGTCAGGTTGCGCTACTTGAGAAGGGCAATCAACATCAGAGGCTAGGGGACACCCCGCTGCTCATCCATCACGAGGCAAACAGTGAAGGGAATGATTGGCGTTTTGCAGGATTGATTGGATTGAGAATATCCATGTTATAGTCTTTGATTGAACAGTGCATGTCTTGGCTTGTAGTTGCTAGATTCATTGATTGAATAGTAAATTGATTATGTACAGTGACCTTCCTCTGGGTTTCCCATTTTGTCCATGGATGAACAGGGGAAGGTCACAAATCATCCTCTATAAATATGATGATATTGGATAGAGGAGGGGATCCATTCTTTCTCTCACTAAAAACTAGTACACTCTTGAGACAGAGTAAGAAATATATTTCGGACTGAGGAGATTTACCCGGTCTAGGTCATACTTTGTGTTCTTGTTGCGTGTTTTATATTACGGGTCAAGTGTCCAGGTCAAACCCGGTCAACCCGCCCATCTATATTTACACCATCAGTATGAGATATAAAAAATTTAATAGAAAAACTCAATAATGAAGATGAAAGTGTATACTCCCTCCGTCCCTAAATAGATTACAATTTTTTTTCTCTCCTCTCGATAACTTTTGTTTGTTTACGCGATTTCATTAAGTATTTGATAAAATAAAATATTCTTGTCACCTCTTGTTTTGTAGAACTTTTGACGTAGTTTTTTAATATGTAATTTTTATATCTTATTGATATACCAATTTGTAAATAAAATGATTTTAAAAATTAGGAAATTTTACTCCGTAACCCGCAATTTGTAATCAAATTGGAGACGGAGTAAGTATTTATTAACCAGTCAAAAAAAACCAATTCAACGTATATAGTTGATGGATACCCAATATTTTCCCAAGGACTGTAGATCGGCCCAGGTTCAAATATAGGTATCCGGGCCTTATAATATTGAAAGATAATACGAGAATAATAATTAATAGTAATAGAAGCACTGCTCACTGGATAATAACTCAAATCGGCGGTCCTCTCCTTTATTCGGTCCTCTTAGGAACGGAATATGCTTAAGGATCGCCGGAATATCTTTTATTATTTACTCAAGTATTTTCTCTCTCTATTACAAGATATCCTCCACTTCTCAAGTCCCTCTTTCTTTTATAGGCACTCCCCATCCATTATCCTNGCAATTTGTAATCAAATTGGAGACGGAGTAAGTATTTATTAACCAGTCAAAAAAAACCAATTCAACGTATATAGTTGATGGATACCCAATATTTTCCCAAGGACTGTAGATCGGCCCAGGTTCAAATATAGGTATCCGGGCCTTATAATATTGAAAGATAATACGAGAATAATAATTAATAGTAATAGAAGCACTGCTCACTGGATAATAACTCAAATCGGCGGTCCTCTCCTTTATTCGGTCCTCTTAGGAACGGAATATGCTTAAGGATCGCCGGAATATCTTTTATTATTTACTCAAGTATTTTCTCTCTCTATTACAAGATATCCTCCACTTCTCAAGTCCCTCTTTCTTTTATAGGCACTCCCCATCCATTATCCTTTTCAATAATGGCAGTGATTGGGGGAATATTCGTGCCAGCCTTACTCCTTCTGGAGGGATGTATCTCAGCTTGAGGCCGTCCACTGGAGGACAAGCCTGTCTGTCCATCTCTTGCTCCCTCTTTCTGGGGGATGTATCTCAGCTTGAGGCCGTCCACTGGAGGACAAGCCTGTCCGTCCATCTCTTGCTCTCTGTCCGTCCCTTTCTCCTCGTCCTTGTCCCTTCAATTAGGGGGGGGGACTACTCTAGACTCTTCCATAGGATTCCTTTCCTTTTTGGGGTAGCTTATTCTTAGTGGGCTGGGCTTCAGCCCATTCTTAAGCCCCCAATCCTTTTCCTTTTTCCTATTTTTCCTCACGGATAACTTCCTTTGACCGGCCCAATATATTTTCTCTGGGCCGGAAACTCCTTTTGATGGACGGGATCTAAATTGGGCCTGGGCCCAATTCGCTAGTACTCTCTCGATGGGCTTGATTCCCATCACATGCCCCTTTTTTTACAAGTCAAAAAATAAAATTTTTTGACTGTAGTCTTCCTTGCATGCCTTATTGGAAAGTTTTTTTTTTGTTTTTTTTTGTCAAAGATTCTCTTTTTTAGGGGGAGACCCCAAAATTCAATTTGTATTCACCCCAGGTGACATCTCCCACGGATGAATAATTGTGTGAGTGGAGTACACGCGGCACGCTCCCATTGGACCGTAGTGTTGTAGGTCTGTCCTTCTGCTGTCCTTCTGCTGTCTGGTCATGCGAGCAGTCCCTGGACATCAATAATGATGGATTGTTGACAGAGGAATAGATTGGGCGTGGACTGCGTGCATGGGAAAAACACATTTAGGGAATGGACCGCTGGGAGTCCGTGCAACTTTAAATATCCATGGCCTACTTTCCCAAACGTTACAACCCCTTTTGACCGGTTCCTCTGATTCCCTTAACTGCTGCATTGGACCGTTCGACTGCGTACAATTCAAGGTCCCCACCCATCTATGATTGTGGGACCGTAACAGGAAAAAGGAAAGCAACAGACGACCGCAGATCTGGGAAATCGGCAGAGTGGACCGTTTGGAATTAGTGCTCCTGACCCGAGTCCAAGGTTGCAATTCTCTTT